AAGTTGCTGAGCGGTGAGTACTGGCTTCCCCATGAGAGAGCAACACGTAATGCTCATTTCAAGGTGCCGAGAAGCAGGCCTAGAGGACCTGTTCTTAACGTGCATGCAAATCTATGGAGGCAAGGAAGGGGCATCCACAACTAATAAGAAGAAGTCGAAGAAGAACCGAAACGATGATCACCATTGAATTGTCGTCTGTGATTCTGTTCCAGTAATTGGATGTTCAAAAGTAGTCGCTATTCAGACCATGCGTGTGTTCTTTGTTTGAATGTTCTTCTAATCCTTCATCAGAAGTGTTTCTTTATGGCATCTTATCCAACACTGTCTGCCACCCTTAGCTTTGAGATGTGGGACTTGTGTTGTAACCCCTGGTGTAAAGGGACTCACAATACTTTCTAAATTGATTGGGTTTGGGAATCTCCTTTCCGACTTTTTTCCAATCAAATTGACAAATACAAGGCCGACAGTGGGATGGAAAAGAGGACAGTATTCTTCATCCACGGCTGGCGATGAATGGACAAAACCGAACAACATTCACCAGTTGTGGACTACCATTCGGCGTGTGTACTTGTTATACAGGCAAGCCTGACTGCTTCTAGTCCAACATCTTGACACTGTCCCGTAGTCAAGCCTAGGGTGAGCCAGGGGAGAATGTTAGCGTCTCACCGACGTTTGTTGTTTGTGCGACGACCTATTGTATGAACCTGTTCACCTGCATAGTATAACAGGCTTTGGGAGTGGACTACTGCGTGATAGCAGTCGTTATTTGTATCGTTATTCAATGAAGTTGGCCCAACTCTCGGTCCTGTTGGTGGGGTCCACTGCTCTGCCGGCGCCACGGGACAGGTTTAGGCTACATAAGCATTCACACTCGTTGATGAGAGAGGCCAAAGTTGGCGGTAACCATACGCACATGTATTGCGATCAACTTGTTGACCACTTCACCGATAACAGTGAGAGGAGAGCTCGGTAAGGCATCGTCCGACTTCATACGCACTCCATCTTAGGAGCTCATGCCCGGGAGAAATGGTGCCAAAAGTATTTATATAACGATGAGTTTTCAACTAGGGATAAATGCCATAGGCCGGTAAGCACGAGCACCTTCCGAAGTGAGGGGAAATCTTGAGCAGGTCGTCCTCCTCTACACTGGAGGGGAGTCTCCAGGCCTAAATGACAATATCGTTACTGCATCGAATGTCGCGGATGACATGATGTCTCTTGCGAAGGAGATCGGCGCTGTCGCGATGGCTCTTGAACACAGGTCATAGGAGCTTCGCCATCCGAGTGCCGAATGAGAATGCTGAAGATACTATGGGGTAGAGAAACCGACAAGAGAGCTGTCCCGTAAAGTACTGGAGAAGACCTTCACAGTCGACCAAGCCTTGGCTGATGTCGCACGCTTCCGAGATTATGCCGCTACTAAATACAATCTCGAGAACGCTCAGTTCGTCACATTCGGGGGGAGCTATCCAGGAGTGAGTAGCATGGTTCGAATCGTCAACCGCTTTTATGCCATCATTGCTTGTGTCGTTTCAGGTTGTAGCTGCCTGGGCTCGGGCCGTCTATCCAGAGAAGTTCGTCGCAGCTGTGAGCTCAAGTGCGCCCATTCAGGCACAACTCGACTTCCCAGAGTAGAGATGGAATCGGAAACTCTCTGTTTAGTGTCGATCCCTATAGATATAATAACGCAGCTGCCGATGCCTTCGCCAACGAGTTAGTCGGAGGAAGTATCGCCTGCGCTACCGCTGTACCGAATGCGCTGTTGAGTGAATCACCCTCTAAGTCAGATAAAGCAAGCCCACGCGGGAGTGGGTCAGATGCTCGAGATCGAGAAACTGAGACGAAAACTGGAGAGGACTTTTAATATTTGTGGTACGAACATGCTAGAAGAACATGATAATAGGAGACTATGGTGAGAGGGATAGTCCAAGAGAGCTTTTCAGTTTACCCCCGATTCAGGACTGCTGAAGGCGTACTGAGTTTTTCAGTGCAGTCGAACGACCCTCGGTGCGAGGGTGACTTGTGCAACATCGAAAAGATTTGCAGTCATTTCACTGACCCCAAACGACCAGCGTGAGAATCAGGCAAACTCTAGACATATAGACTGGGCAGTGAGTCTTTAGGTCATTAGTGGAGGGCCTGGCAGAGGTTAGTAGAAGTCGAACGAAAGAATGTGTAGATGTCGACTTCGAGGAAGTTGCTCGAATGTAATCAAGTCGCGAGGACGCTGTACGAGTAGAAATATGGAATCAGGTATAGAAATGAGTCATACGCTGACTGGATGAAGATGTGGGTCTTCCAAACCTGCAACGAGTTTGGATTCTATCAAACCTGTGACTCGTCGAAGAACTGTCTGTGGCCTCCGCGGCTCAGTGATCTTGAGTGGAATATGAAACTTTGCGAAATAGGCTGGGACTTTACTCCAGCAGAAGTAGAGGCATCACGCTCTAGCTTACTTATCTGAATCGAATGGTTGTATGCGGGGACTCATGGAATGCTGACTCGGAAAAATGTTCTTTTTGCTGACGTTGAAGCCGAACTACAGTCCAA